AAGGAAAATGTTCCCTTGGAAGGCTTTTCTTTCGTTTTTTTAAGATTTATTTGAGAGGCAGAGTTACAGATTGGGGGGTGGTCTTTCATGTACTGGTTCACTCCCCAAATGGCTGCAATGGCAGGAGCTGAGCCTATCTGAAGCCAGAAGCCAGAAGTTTCTTTTGGGTCTCCCACGTGGGTGCAGGAGTCCAAGCATTTGGTTCATTCTCCACTGCTTTCCCAGGCACAATACTTGGGCCATCTTCCATTGCTTTCCTAAGCACATTAGCAGGAAGCTGGATTGGAAGTGGAGCAACCAGGACCCAAACTGGTGCCCATACGGGATGTCAGTGGCACAGGCAGAGGATTAACTTACTATCCCACAGCACCAGCTCCTCTTGGAAGTCTTTTCAAATCTGCTTAGTGGATTCTTTTTTAAACAATCATATACAAATGAAGTGAGCAGATATACCCTCATCTAAAATTCTTCAGGAATTTTAAATGGCTGGGTGAGTGCAAATCTTCATAAACTGTACATTTAAAAAAAACAACAACATGTTTATCAAAACATTTTCATGTACCCTATAAGTATATACAAGTAACATTTTTAATTTTAGAATAGTTTTAGATCTACAGAAAACTTGCAGATTTCTAGTATTCCCATTAATACTTCATACTCAGTTTCCTCTATTATCAATCTTTCATCAATACAATATACTTATCATAACTAATGGACTGAAATTGATATATAATTATTCACTAAATCCCATGTCTTATTCAGATTCCTTAGTTTTTCCCTAATGCCCTTTTTCTGTCCCAGGATCCCATCCAGGATATCATGTCACATTCAGCATCCTCCTCCTTAGGCTTCTCTATTACATTCTTCATTCCTGGAGGCCAGGTATCATCATCAGCACCAATGTCTTCTAAAACAGGACTCAATAAATATTGAATTGAATCGACCTGGTTTCTATTTTAAAATGTCAACTGCTTGATTGAATCATTTCTTACTTGCTTCTGAGTGGCATTATCTCCCTATACATCTAGCCCTCCAATACTGCCAGTGGGATTTCGCTTTGTCCTAATGTTTTATGCAGAGCTTTATTTATTAAAACTGGCAGATCAATAATGCGTAGTTAAAATCACAGGTCAGGCCCCCGCCTGGTCTTTTTGACTGATATCCCACCTGTGTCTATATCCCTGAAACAGCAGTAGTGTTGGGTGAGAATCACTCTATTACCCACGGCTGCTCACACAAACCTCTGGGCCTCTCTCCCTGGGCATTTGTGAGGATTACTGAGATGAGGTGGAAGAAAACCCTTACATCAATAATAATGAGGGTTAGCAGGGGCTGAGGACTGGTCTTTGAATTTCCACATACAGCATGTTCAATCCTCACAACAGACCTAAGCCGTAAAAGACCTTAGCCCCATTTTACAGTTTGCGAGGCTGAGGCTCAGAGAAGCTAAGCAGTATGTCTAATACTACACAAAGGATGAGGCGTAGACTTAGGATCTGGACTCAAGACTGTCAACCTACACTCTATGTGAGTGCTTGTTCCCTATGATGTCCTTTGTAAGACAGCTTCTCCCAAATTAAAACATTCTCCCCCCTTAGATGGTCCAGGAAGGAGAAGTACACAGGAACAGCCCGAGGCCATGACTGTCTCACCTTTACTCAGGTCCTCAAAAACAGAACAATTCAGCAAATGCTGAGTGTGTCGTATGTACAAGGCATGAGCAGGAGTCTTATGGTGGTACGCATTTGTAGCAGTACTCGGTACCCCTTAAGATACTGGAGTGCCTGGGTTTGAGGCCTGGCTCCATTTCTCCAGCTTCTTGGTAATGTGTACTCTGGGAGGCAGCAGGTGGTCCAGTACTTTACTCTCGGCCTCCTATTGGGAGACTGGGAGGAGTTTGGTCTCCCGTCTTCAGCCTGGCCCAATCGTGCCTGTTGTGGATATTTGGGGAGTGAACCAGTAGATGAAAGACTTTCACCTCCATCCCCTACTTTTCAAATAAATAAAACATATAAATTAAACTTTTTTTGACAGGCAGAGTGGACAGTGAGAGAGAGAGACAGAGAGAAAGGTCTTCCTTTGCCGTTGGTTCACCCTCCAATGGCCGGCGCGGCCGGCGCGCTGTGGCCGGCGCACCACGCTGATCCGAAGCCAGGAGCCAGGTACTTCTTCTGGTCTCCCATGGGGTGCAGGGCCCAAGCACTTGGGCCATCCTCACTGCACTCCCTGGCCACAGCAGAGAGCTGGCCTGGAAGAGGGGCAACCGGGACAGAATCTGGCGCCCAGACCGGGACTAGAACCCGGTGTGCCGACGCCGCAAGGTGGAGGATTAGCCTAGTGAGCCGCGGCACGGGCTCATATAAATTAATTTTAAAAAAAATTTTTACAAACCCCATTCAGAGACGGACATGATGATTGAGCTTCTTATTTCTGACTTGAGGTCCCTTTCAGCACATCTTTCCCTCAGTGAAACCCCAATTCCCACATGAACAACCAAGCTCCCCTGTTTACTCCTGCAGGCAGCTCTGCGGACACTGAGCCTCACAGCCCATTAGGACAGATGCTAGTGGCCAGTGTCACACAGACTCTTCAGCTCCTCATTGCACTGATGGAAACCCTCGCATGACACCTCTATATATAGACACCTAGGATATAAAATAACTTAAGACCTTAGGCCCCACCAAAAGCTACGCAATGCAGAGAATAAATTCTAGCATCATTAACCAAATTCTGGCAACTGTTTACAATTCCATCAACAGAATGTATTATCAGTAGTTGTACTTAGTCCTTCCAAGGAGAGCATAGTAGTATCTAAAATACCCTGAGTTACAGAGGAAATGCCTATGGCTGCTAACTAATTACTTTGGCCATGCTGTGCTTGTTTGCACTGGTTGAATGTTGAAGGTGTTTCTGGCTTCGACTTCACATTAACCAAATCTGTGACTTTGATGTAGCCCCACGGTCTCAGCCAGGGATGATTTTGTCCCCAGGAGACATTTTTGGTTGTCACATCTGGGAAGAGGCTGCTAAACATCTGACAATGCACAGAACAGCTCCCAGAACAAAGAATTATCCAGTTCAAAATGTTAATAGTGCTGAAGCTGAGAAACCTCAGTGTATGGTGAGAATGTGTCGTAGAGCAAAACTTCAAAATCTTAAGTGTTTTGCCCAAATACATGCTATGTCCAAATAGATAAGACCCTTCGTGTCCTAGGACCTGGGTGGGTAAGAACAAGAACCACATTAGTGCTCAAGTATCTGAACTTCTCTTTTCCCCAAAGCTCTGTTGATAAATTTTTCCTATAGTTGAGGTGGGCACTTGGCCTAGCAGTTAAGATGCCCATTAGGAACTCATGATCTAAATCAGAGTGCCTGGGTTCGATACCTGGCTCTGGCTCCTGATTCCAGTTTCCTGATAATGTAGAATGTAGGAGGCAATGGTGATGACTCAAGAAGTTGGGTCCTGGGGCAGGCACTGTGGCATAGCGGGTAAAGCCTATAGTGCCAGCATCCCCTATGGGCACTGGTTCAAGTCCTGGCTGTCCCACTTCTGATCCAGTCTCTGCTATGGCCTGGGAAAGCAGTAGAAGATGTCCCATGTCCTTGGGCCCCTACACCCACGTGGGAGATCAGGAAGAAGCTCCTGGCTCCTGGCTTCAGATTGGTGCAGCTCCGGCCATTGTGGCCATCCTGGTAGTGAACCAGCATGTGGAAGATCTCTCTTTGTCTCTCTGCCTCTACCTCTCTGTAACTCTGCCTTTCAAATAAATAAATAAAGAAAGAAGAAGAAGAAGAGGAGGAGGAGGAGAAGGAGTGGGGGTAGGAGGAGGAGGAGGCTCCCCATTTTTATTTCAGCTTCCTCTTAATGTATACCCTGGGAAACCGTAGGTTATGGCTCAAGTGTGTGGGTGCCTGCCACCCATGGGAAGCTCATACAGAGTTCTTGGCTCCTGGCTTTCATCTGGCCCAGCCCTAGCCGTTGTGGGCATTTGGGGAGTGAACAAGTGAAGATGAGAGTTTCTCTCTCTCTCTCTCTCTCTCTCTCTCTCTCTCTCTTTGCAGATTAAAAAAAAAGGCACATATCACATTCACTATGCATATAAAGTAACACAAATCTAATTTCAAATATCATAGGAACGTATGTTACTTATGACAAGTCCTCTCTCCACCTCCTGTCTGTACTTTAGGTGTTGGCTGGTTTCCTTCTTCCCATCTTCCTTTTCCTTTTGCTAGCTTCTCTTTTGTTCGTTCTTCTCAAAAACACTCCCTGGGGCATCCTGCTGCCATCTGCAGAGATTTTGCACAGAGTGAGACATCTGCATCTCCAGGGAATCCAGAATCTTCTAAAGCCATCCTCTCCCCCTTTCTCGTGGGGGGAGGGTTCATCTCTCTTCATATGGTGAAGCCAAACCTGGAGAACAAGGGAACAGGGTTTCTGGTTAGGAATATGTGAAAACTGCCTCTCAGATGGGCCCCAACTCCCCACTCCTGCATCCTGCAAACAGCCCCTCCAAGAAGTTTTATTTTTCCCCAACCCTCCCAGCTGACTTTCCACCAGTTCTAATACATCCAGATCTGCCCTCTGTTACGGAGTTTTCTGCTACCTACATTTGGAGCAGAGTTTAAGTAGGCAAAGAAAATAAGCGGTGCCAGGGGTGAGGTTAAGGTAGGACTTTGGAAATTCTGTGAACCTGTTTGACAACTTTGCCTCCTCCAGGGAAACAGCTAGCTCGTCCGCTGTGGGCAGCGACAGGAATAGAGCCAGACCTGCCACGAGTCTGTGTGGCATGCCTCCTTACATCTCAAGAAGCAGAACGCCAGAGGGGGCAAAGGGGGACTGTTCAGCTCCACTCCAACATTTCCTCCAAACGCTGAAGGGAAAAATGCCACCTCTCCACTTCCACCCGAGAGGCGCGCTGCAGGGCTGCCTGGGATCTGCTAATAAAAGCGCAGAGCGTAAACTGCTTGGTGATTATTGGCTTTCGCCCTCGGACGGAGAAATGAGATCACGGTTTTCACGAAGGGCAGGAGCCGCTGCTGCCAGTCTGCTGAGGCCGCTGCCTCCTCTCCCTGCGCGGGTCCCGCATTACATCACCGGTGAGCTCTGGCTGGTGGGGGGAGACGAGGCCGCGCCGCCGGGGGACCCGGCCCCGGACAGAGCAGGATAAACAACAGCGCGGGGCGGGAGTGGTGTGCAGAAAGAGGGAAGGGTTTCGAGAAAGCAGGACCCAGTTTCCCACCACCACCCCGTGGGAGGGGACGCTGCACAGGCGAAACGTAACCTCTCGAAGCAGCCGCGCCCCAAACCCCGGGTCCGCACCGCCTCTCTGCCTCCCTGCCGCCCTCAACCCCAATTCCGGCTCCAACAAAACCCAGTATCCGAAGCTGCCAGGATAGCTACCTGGAAGGGGCCGAGGGGGACAGCGGAGAGACGCCCGGGGACTGGGAGGGACCGAAGCTCCCGCGCCGGGGGAGGGTGGGGTGCGGGGACGCGAGTGGGAGGCGGTCGCCACTGCGCCCCCGCCCGGCCCAGCCAGCGGTGCCTCCCCCGCCAGGCGACAACAGTCGGAGGGGGGAGGCAGAAGCGCCTCCTCCCCGCCCGGAGCCGAGGCAGCTGCGCCGGGGGAGGAAGGCGCTCACCTTGCCCCCCGATGAGGGGCGGATCATGCCATGGCAGCGCCGGCGAGCCACAGCGGCGGCAGCGAACAGAGCCCGAGCAGCAGCCCCGGGAGCCGGGCGGGAGCCGGGGGCACCGCGCTGGGAGTACGGGACGGCGGGGACCAGGGAGTCCGGCAAGCTGCCGCGACGGCCCCCGGCCTCCCTCCGCTCGAAGACTACGAGTGCAAAATCTGCTACAACTACTTCGACGCGGACCGGCGCGCGCCCAAACTGCTGGCGTGCCTGCACACCTTCTGCCAGGAGTGCCTGAGCCAGCTGCAGCTCCGCGCCGCCGCCGCCAGCGCCGCGCCTGAGCGTCCACCGCGCCCGCCACCCTGGCACGGCCCTCCCGGCGCCATCGCGTGCCCTGTGTGCCGTCACCGCACGCCGCTGCCCGACAGCCGCGTGCACGGCCTGCCCAACAACACCAAGCTCGCCGAGGCCTTCCCGCTGGCCCTGCGCGCCGCGCAAGACCCGCTGCCCCAAGACCGACTGCCGCCGCTGCCTGCGCGCCGCCCCGCGCCCGCAGCCGCCGCCGCGCCGCCCGCCGCAGCCCCGCAGCCCGAGCCGCCCGCCGAGGACGCGGCTCCCGAGCCTCGCGCCCGCACCGGCCTGCGCGCCCCGGGCGCCTACGAGAGCTGCCAGAACTGCAAGCGAGCCGCGCTCACCGCCGGCTGCGTGTGCGTGGTTTTCTCCTTCCTCTCCATGGTGGTGCTGCTCTTCACCGGCCTCATCTTCGTCAACCACTACGGCGGGGGAGGCGGCGGCGGCGGCGGCGGGGGATCCCCCGGGGCAGGAACGACGCCTGGCACGGGCCCGGCGTCCGGGACGCCCTCGCCCTCCCCTGTGGGACCCATTTGTCTGTCAGTGGCCAGCATCCTGGCGCTCTTCTCAGTCGTTGTCACCTGGGTCATCTGCTGGCTCAAGTACCGGCCCGAGGGCGCGGCCGCCGGCTCTGCGGGAAGCGGCGGCCCGAGGGCGCGGGCGGCGGCGGCTCCCGGCGGCGCGCGGAGGAGCGACACGTAGCGGACAGCGCCCCGGGTCTCTCGCCTGCCCCTGGAGCCCGCACGGCCCGAGAGAAGGGAGCCTCTGGCCGGGTGCGCCTGAGCCTCTCCGTGTCTGCGTGCGGGCCCCCTCAGGGCGCACACACCCTCCCGACCCCTGCGAAGCCCGGGTTTTTCGTCCCCTCGGGTTCTCCACACTCGACCTGCTCAGCCCTGGGCCAAAGAGGGAAACCAAGGAGACGCCCAAACTGTGTGAGATCGGCCCCTGCGTCATGCACCACTCCCATCCTCGCCAGAATGCGCGGCGATCCCTTCCCAGAGTCCCAGGATTTGCAGAGAAAAGGCAGTGGGACTCCCGCTGCGCTGCGGAAAACTGGTTTTCTAGGGGCTGGGATTTAGGAGTTTCCTTAAGGGCGCAGGTGCGCGCGCGCGCTCGCGTCTGCCGCCGTTGTGAATGAACTTGACTCTCCCAGAGGAAGAATGCACGAGTCCTACACGTGAGGGAAACCTTTCCCTGCTTCCCCGCCGTGCCAGTACCCAGTCCTGGGTACTGAAAGCAACGCACGCTGGGCGCGGGCACAGCGCGGGCGTGTGGGCGCGGCGGCTGGAAGCGCCGCCGGCCGCATCTGTGCGGGATTGGGCAGATGCTCAGCGCGCGTGCTTGTCGGGGCCGCCGGCCACGCCGCGGTGCAGGGGCGCGGCCCGCGCGTGTCGGTGGATTCTGCCGCCCGCCCAGGGCCGGCTGTGTGAGCAGAGCCCAGAAGTCCCAACTCCTGGAAGCTGGTGGCGGGTTTATGCACGAAGCCACTGCTTGGAAGTCATTTCATCTTCTGTAACTGGACTCAGGGAGCTTGAAAAGCCTGTTTTCCCTTTTCTCAAAACTGACTGACTGTTGCCCCCACCTGGAAGATATTGAAAGCTATTCACACAGAATATCCACCGTAGGCTTTCCTCGACTTTTTTCTGTTTCATTTAAAATAGCCCATTTTCGAATATTTAATTCTAGAAAATCTTATGCATTGAGTTTTCCAGAAGAGTTGTTTGATAAGCAATGACGTTTCTCCCATACCTCCAGTCCAAATGCATTTCGAAACAAGGAGTAGAAGATAATGGTATGTTGGTAATTGTTCAAGATTTTACACAGTATTCAGTTATAGGATAAAATATTAAATAGTGCCCAAAGACGAAACTGACAAGTCTGCTTTGACTATGAGGATATAATAGTGTACATTTACAAGAAAAAAATATTATCTTGAATTTAGGTGTGTGATGTTGTTGGAATCACCAAAATGTTTGCATCTGGTCATGTGATATGAAAAAGGATATGATTTTGTAACTAAAAAGATGAACCACAAATGCGTGTGGCAGGTGGATTAGATGCCTTTTTTAGAGAAAGAAAAATATCTTCCAAATGTATTTTATATGAAAACATTCTTTATTCCAATCTTGAAGCTTGGAATAAGACAAAGTTTTCATGCTTAAACATCACAGAAGATGCTGAGGGTGTGTTGTTATTCCTTGTGTATTTATGCAAGCCAGCTGCATGATATCTTGACACTATTCTATTAACTGAACTTGAATGGAGCATTTGTATCTATCCTAGGAGTGAAGTAATTTATTGGCCCATGATAAGTGGTGTGGCTGCAAATATAGGAACTACAATATGATGTGCTATATGTCTGCATTGTCTTAATAATAAAAAGGAATTATTTATAGAAAAACCTTTTTGTTGATGTTTATTTCATAGTGAAATTGTTTCCAGTTATTTGTACAGTACTTCTGTTCCTTAAACACATCTCCATCCAAGTTCCAATTTCATATTTTGAGTGGGGCTGAGAGAAATCTCACACATGGGAACATCCACTACTAAGAGGATCACTTCATGGAATTATTGGTAGTGTTTAATAGGAGTCCCTGTAGACCCAGTAAGAGCTGTTGTGGTAATCTGAAAGGAGAAGTGACTGCCACTAGAATACTCACTACAGCTAAAATCTGTTGTCAGACTCTGTTCTTGGTTTCTATGAAATGTTTTGGGATTCCTCATACTAAGAATTATGCTTCAGAGATTGTTTGTTTGGAACTCCAAAATCTTGCGTTACTTCTATATTCATTTTTATCTTTTACTCACTCTTTTCTTTCACCCCCATTGCTGGTGTTTGTTTACATTCACACAACTATTTAAATGCACAGTGCATGCACACATATATATGGGTATATATTATACATATGTAAATATATAGAATACGTATGATATATTGCATTATAATATCAGAACTTGGCATTTGTATGTAACCATGTGCACACATATGTTTATTATTTAATTTTCTTGAACTGGCCACCGAGAAGTCTGTCTAAAGTTCCTTGGGACCCAACTTGCTTCTTACGGAGTCTATTTTCCACAGAAGTATACCAACCTAAATTATTCCTCATGAATGAGAAAAAATCTTTGAATTGTTAACACTCACCATAAAAGTCACATTTTGCTTCTTTCGTGTATTGCACAAATTTCTTACCATGACAAATTTGTTAGGATCCTTTAAAAATCAAATAGATGCAGGTAATAGCTCAGTACCTAATCATGGAGAGGTCCCCCCAACCTTGGTTGACCTTGCTTTATCACTAATTTTGGACTTTCTTACCAAGAATTGAATGGCAGGATGGAGCCATGAAATGCATATGTCTGGTTTTTATGGTTCTCTAGTATTCATGTGTTCCATTCTACAGATTTGACTTAAATAACTCCTATTTAATGTGGAAAGACCTGGCATACCAACACCTGAGATGAAGCAGGCATTGAAGAAGACATAATTGTTGAAATAATCAATAGGTTGTCTGGAGGGCAGTTCCAGTGGAGTGCTTTTCTCCTTTCCCATGACAATTTTCATCTTCTGGGAACTCTTGATTCAATCCTGGACACATCCCAACTTATGAGTGAGAACTACCAGTAAAGTCACTGGTTCCACCTGCCTGGAGAACTCGGAGTCTCCCAGCTCAGGTTCTGCCTAGGTTCTGGGGCTGCAGGTAAACATTATCATCATGCTTCTTTACAGTCTAAATTGCAGGTGAAAGACAGCCATTATGCAGGTGAGGACCAAAGGTAACAGCATTCACTTGCAGAAAGCACACAGGGTTTGGGATCTAACTACTGGTATTTGCAGCCAGGAGATGCCAATCTGCATATTGGCTCTTTCTCTACTTGGGAAGTCATTTAACCTCTTTGAACCTCCAGCTCCTCATTTATAAAATGGAGAGAAAAGGTTTCAGCCTCATGTACCTCATGGAGTTGATGTCAGGATTGCACATCTGAGAAGAGGTTGGATAAAAGTACTTAGGGAATTAAAACCCCATGTAGGCCTATAGCCTTGTTTTCATTCAGGTCTCCAAGAGTCTAATGTCACCTCCCCAGAGAAGTCTGCCCTGACCACTCTGTTCCTGGTTGATACAGATTTCAGTTTTACTTTCTTCTTAACACAGCTATCTGCAGTGGTCTTTCTTTCTTCCTCCCTCCCTCTCCTTCCTTCCTTCCTTCCTTCCTTCCTTCCTTCCTTCCTTCCTTCCTTCCTTCCTTCCTTTCTTTCTTTCTTTCTTTCTCTTTCTTTCTTTCTTTCTTTCTTTCTTTCTTTCTTTCTTTCTTTCTTTCTTTCTTTCTGTCAAGCTGCAGAGTGTGTACATAAGGAGATAAGGACAGAAACCTGCTCATCCACTCTGTCCTTTCCTCACACATAGTAAGTGCTGGATACTCTGTTGAAGCTGTTAAAGGGAAACCCTGGGAACCTAGGGAACCTGGCTCCCCAGACTCACACCACTACTGAGTAACTCCTGAGTCCCTGGGGATGGTGGTTTTCCCTATTTCATAAAGATTTTTAAAAGGTGAAGAAACAATTTCCAGGACAAGCACTTTGAACTTTGAGAAAAATCAAAGTTACTACATGATAGTCAACGAGAGAGAACTCTAGGAAGAGTAAAGAACACTTGGCTTCCATTGTCAACATTTCTGCATTGTAATTGCTTTTTGGGTTTTTATGCATTTTAGTGGTAACAGAAATGGTTTTTGACTGCAAACAGAAAACTTTATTAGAGTTGGTTTAAACAAGGCTTACTCACTTTCTGCATGTTCCTTGAGAGAAGCAAAGAACCTCGTCTAAATGCAAGGCCTCTTCAGGAGATGATGCTAGAGCTGATAGTCCTTGACTAGACACATGGCTGAACAAGAAATGCAACTGCAAGCAGAGTGCACATCAAACACAAGTTATGCATCCGTTCATGAATTGCATGGTGACAGTCTAAAGTATCTCTATAAACATGTCTGCACTATCCACTTCAAAGACAGTAGCAGCATAGTTGGAAAAGCATTATTGCAATGGAACTGCCCATATTAAGAATGAGATTAGTTGTTTTCAGTTTTGTCACTCTGATGTATCAACTCTTCAATGTTTTCATTTTAATAAAACATTCTTCATACATTTGATAATTTTGTTGATCCCAATAGCTGAGTAATATCTCTTTATCTTGTGACCCAACTGATGTCCTCTCTTAATTTCCAGTAGCTAATTTTCATATTTTACATTTCTGCTGCTATATAAAGATTATTGAGTATCATGAGCAATGAATTGAATTCTTGCTTAATATGTGTTTGTATTTTTTTCTCTTTGAAATCATGTGCTGTTATTGTACATATATTACACACCAAGGGGTTTTTTTTCCCTAGGAAGAGCTGATATTTACCATACTAATTATTTTGAAATGAATTTTAGGACTTGGTTTGAACTTAGAGCAATGAAGAAAGAGTGGAAAGGATTGTATTTACTTGTTGCTAAATTTCTTCTGATTGTCCACAAGATAAACTTTGTAATATGAAATATTAGCATTGCTTCTGCCAATTTAATTCAAAGGCTTCTCTTCTCTTATGAAAACCTAAAATATGCCTGAGAAGAAAATTTCTCTGATAAATTCACAATCATTGCTAATTACAAGATATATTTGGGGAATAATGCTTAATGTCCAGTTTCCAAGAGGAAGTTGAGGAATAATGTGTACACTTCCTTTAGGGGAAAAAAAATGTTGTACTTGCATTTAAAATTGGATCATCCATAGTTTAGAAATACCACATCTCTGGGGCTGGCCCTGTGGCAGTAAAGCCACTGCCTGCAGTGCCAGAGTCCCATTTAGGCATCGGTTTGAGTTCCGGCTGCTCCATTTCCAATCCAGCTCTTTACTATGGCCTGGGAAAGCAGTAGAAGATGGCTTATGTCCTTGGTCCCCTGCACCTACTTGGGAGACCCAGAAGAAGCTCCTGGCTCCTAGCTTCAGATCAACTCAACTTTGGCTGTTGTGGCCATTTGGAGAGTGAACCACCGGATGGAAGACCTCTCTCTCTCTCTCTCTTTCTCTCCCTCTCTCTCTCTCTCTCTGCCTCTGCCTTTCTAATGAATCAATAAATCTTAAAAAGAAAAAAAGAAAGAAAGACCACATCTCCATGGGGTTTTTGTGGATGTTGAAGTGAGAAGAAATGCAAAAAAAAAAAAATTCTCCAGCTCTTAATATTATACACCACGAAATGAACAGAAGAGAAAGTGTTTTGTTACTGAAAGAATAGAATGCCTTTATTTTAACAGCTATGATTTCAAAGAATCTTGGTAATGTATGGTCTGCTGTATGGTCTCCAATATATAAAAATACTTTTATATCTACAGTGCACATTTAAAAATATTTTGTAATCCAATTGTAGAGTGCAAGTTGCTTCTCACTATAGTTTTGGTCTCCCAGCAAGAATCAGTTATTTCCTCGGAGAGACTGGGAGTGAGAGGAGTCAAGCTCTGCAAGCCGATGACTTGTATTCAGAGGCCATTTCTTATAGAATTCACACACAGCAAATTTGTTTCCTGACATGAGCCTCAAGGATGTCCTTAGCCTGGGTTACAAGTTAGGATAACGAGAGGCTTAAAAAAACAAATATGGAAGCACCCCTCCTGTCCCTAGAGACCACATATTTAATTGCTCCATCTCCAGGGAGAAGTGTATCCATGTCTTTAAAAGGCACCCTCGGTTATTCTACTGAGTGACTAAAATGAGGGCCATTATATTTCACAACCATTTTATTGAACTACGAATGTCTCCCTAATCTCAGTTTAATGAACTAAATGCCGCCAGGTGCATTTTCTTTGAAACTCATTAGGAGATCCGGTGACAATGCTTCCATTTTGGAAGTGGCCATAATTTGGAAAACCAAAGGAAGGTGGGTCTCTCTATCTCATGCACACTCCTATTGCTTTTGCATTCCCAGAAAGTTAACTAATTATTTGTATCCCTCTTTAATTTTTTAAATTTTTTTGAAAATTTTTAATTGTACATATTTGTGGGGTACAGTATGATAACTCAATACACATACTCAGTGTGGAAGATCAAACCAAGTTAGCTTTTCTATCTCCTCAACCACTAAAAAAGTTATTTTATTACCATTTAATAATCGTGCATGTTCACGGGGTACAGGGTAATCTTCCATACATGCATGCAGTATGTCTGACCTCATTTGGCAAGCTCTGATCTTTTCTGTCATGGGCAGGGTGAGGCTGCGCCTTCCCCATCCTAAGCCATTTCTGAGGGCTTTCCTAGCCCCTGCAAAAGAGGTGTTTTCCATGTTCGAAGAATCTGATCAAAATCTGGTGACAACGTGGGGATTTGCTGGCAGTCATGTGAGTAAACACGAAAGTTT